GTCAATTCTTGAAAGACAACTTATGAATACATAAACTAGGGGCTTAAATCTAAGGTATTTAATTTGAGACAAAGTCTCATTATGTAGCACTGGCTGTCCTGGAGCTTGATTTGTTGACCAGGTTGGCCTCAAACGACAGGGATCTCATGTCTAAAATGCAGTGGTACACTTTTAGAAAACTCATTTTATTGCCCATAAATCGCACTACCCCATCCAAGTCTCCCTATATATCTCAGGCTGGCCTGAAGCTCACTATGTCACCCAGGGTTGCCTGACACTCAGTCTCTCAAGTCCTGGGATCACAAGGCATGAGCTCTAGTGCCTGGCAGAGTGACACTAGGAGAATCAGTTGTGACGTAGGGATAGTGTGATGCTTTGTATATACTTGGCCCAGGAAGTGGCACTATTTGGAGGTGTGGCCTTGCTGGAGTAGGTTTGTCACTGTGGGTGTGGGCTTTAAGACCCTCATCCTAGCTGCCTGGAAGTGAATATTCTGCTAGCAGCCTTCAGATGAAGATGTTCAACTCTCAGTTCCTCCTGCACCATGCCTGCCTGGATGCTGCCATGCTCCTGCCTTGATGATAATGGACTGAACCTCTGAACCTGTAAGCTAGCCCCAAATGTATGATGTCCTTATAAGAGTAGCCTTGGTCATGGTGTCTGCTCACAGCAGTGAAACCTTAACTAAGAGAGGTGGTAATAGTAACAATACCTATACAAGGAGAAACTCAGATGACTAAAAGAGATAATGTGAGGTAAGACTTGGCATCATGCTTGGCACACAGTCAGAGCTCACGGAGATTCATAAGCAGGCCCTTCTTAGGAGGCTTCCAAGAGGGCTCTTTAGAAGTTCTAGTACTTGCTGCTTGTGGTGGTTCTGACTGTAATCCTATCACTCGGGAGACAGAGACAGGAAGATTTCTGTATACTCAAAGTCAACCTGGGCTATGTCGTGAGCTTGAGGCTAGTCTGGGGTACATCACAAGATCCTATTTCAAACAAAACTTTCCCCCAACACTCCCTCAGTATTCTTTAAAGATTGAGAAGTCCTGTCCTGGAGATATGATGTGCAGACTGTACTCTTCAGTAAGACTCATCTAATATCTTTGTGCAAAGTGCAGACAACCAAGCTCACACTGCAGTGAGACCAAACGCGAGCATGCTCGAGAATCACTTTTTCTTTTTCCTCCAACAATACAAGACTTTTGGAGGTCAATACAGTGCATTTCCATACAGTTTTCCAAGAGGCCACTTTGTCCACAGGAACAGATCTTGTAACAACCAACTTCCCCTGCAGAGGATGGCACCTGGATCAGTGTCCCCTGGCGGACAATGAAGTCAGAAGCTTCTCCCAGTTTGCAGCCTGTACAAAAATACACACAAGAACAGGACAATGAACTGATAATACTGTCCTATGACAATATTTCATATTAGACATACTTTATAGATGTCTTCCAGGACTGTGTAGCTGTTAAAGATTGCAAGATTATGTTACAGAGCTGGAGAGATGGCTCAGCAGTTAAGAGCACTGGCTACTCTGCCAGAGGACCCAGGTTCATTACCCAGCACTGACATAGTGGTTCATAACCTTTATTGCTCCAGTCGACCTCACACCCTCTTGTGGCCTCTGTGGGCACTACACTCACATGGTATGCATATATAGATGCGGGTAGAACACTCAAACTCATAAAAATAAATATATATTTTTAAAAAAGATTATGTTATATAACTTTTACCAAAATAAGAAATTTCTTTTGTTCACTGGTCAAAAGATATAACCTCTCAAATGAAAATTTCATGTCTTATGGGTGATTAAGGACATGTACCCCAAATAATTTAGTACAAAAATACTATGAAGATACATAGCTTTGGCCAAGTACAGTAATATACACCTGTACTTCCAGAACTGGAAAGCTGAGGCAGAAGAATGGCTTGGGCTACTGTGTAGTGAGACCTTATCAAAAAATAAACAAACGGGGACTGGAGAGAGATGGCTCAGTGGTTAAGAGCAATGACTGCTCTTCCAGAGGTCCCAAGTTCAATTCCCAGCAGCCACATGATGGCTCACAACCATTTATAATGAGATCCAATGCCCTCTCCTGGTGTGTCTGAAGACAGCTATATACAGAGTATATACATAGAATAAACAATTCTTTAAAAAACAAGCAAGCGACAAAAGCACAGCTTTCTATTTCTGTGGCCTAAACATATTTGAAGAAATGATAAAATGTTTTAAATAAAATACATAAACTGCCTATTTTTAGACTAATTTTGGGCAGGACAATTTTTAGTGATGGAATATGAGCATACTACTATAAATTCAAAGAAAACTTGAGTATTTGGATGGGATTAAGGAAAACCCATTTTCAATTTATCATAAACTGGGGTTTCTGAGTTTAACAAAACAGTTTGGAACTGTTCTATATTACATATTGTAGAGTAGAGATCTTGCCATTTTCTTGGTGAAGAAAGCACTGGCTGAACACTAACACAATGGCAAAGGACATGAAGCAGCAGTCTGAGGTGGAGAACAGCCACTATCTCCTTCAGCTGGACTCATTGCTGCTTGGTAGCTGACACACTATCATGTTATTCAGGCAGACAGTCCTTTAGACTCCATGCTGAGTCAATCTTTTGCTCCTTTTTTTACTTGAGCAACTGACAGAGAAAAGGATTATCAAAATCCCCCGTCTCTGTCTCTGTCTCTGTCTCCCTTAGTTCTTAGAGGTCTCCTCATGTAGCCCTGGCTGTCCTGGAACTCATTATGTAGCCCAGGCTGGCACTGCACTCACAGATCCGCTGGCCTCCAGTGCTAGGATGAAAAGGGTATGCCGCCATGCCCAGCTGTCTCTATCATTTCCACATAACACTACTCTTATTTTTATTGAAATACAGTGTCATGTTGCTTAAGCTGGCCTCGGATCCAGTGTGTAGCTGGGATAACCTTGCTCTCCTGCTGACACTTCAGCATTTTGTGGTGCTGGGGACTGAATCCCAGGCTTTCCGCATTAGGCAAACACCACTGTAGAGCTACATTTGCAGCCTTACAGAGGTGATAAGTATCGTAGAGAGCATGGTATTTTCTCCATGTGCTACAGAGAAGAGAAGAACGCCATGAACAATGTTTTTCAAACATTACAGCACGGAAGAACAGGTACAAGTGGTTGGCTGGAGCTTCTCTTTTGTTCTATAGTCAAGAACCCTGTAACTCAGTATGACAGTTATGTTGGTATTGATAGCATTAGTTTTCAATTTAAATGACAACTGAAATTTTATGTGTGTTGTGGTAATTACTTAATCTCAATCAGGGGTTCTTGCCTTTGATCATTTAGTTCCCAGATAAAAGACATAACCTTTGTATTTATGATAAGCCTTTAAAACACTATCCTCCATGCTATTATGTCTACTTCCCTGTTAATAACCCTGAGACATGACTTGTCATGTTCTACCCGGGCCACTCTTACTCTGATTAGCCAGTTCTCACTATCTCTTACCCCATGGCATCTTCTCCTCTCTCCATCTTTTCTTTTTCTTCCTCATGGTCTCTGCCCCGGTCCTCAAGCCTGGGAACCAAAACCCCACCTACCCCTCTTCTGCCCAGCTATAGACAATAGTTTTAAACTAAGGAGCAAAGTTACACAGCATCACTTCGTGTACATGAGGATTTTCTCATCCCGGGGGCAACCGGACCTTGGGAGCCAGTATTTAGCATTACAACACATAGTAACAAACCAAATATCAACATATGTGTCTTTGTTTGCATAAATATTTTTTGTAGGAAAATCCTTAAACATTACATAAAAAGATAGCATAGAAAACGTCCCTGGAACCTGGGTGTAAGACAACTCCTCTAAGGAAGCTTCTAAGGAAGCCATGTCCCATGCTCATCTCACTCACAGCCCCCATCTCTTACCTTGAACACACGAATACGGAAGGCAGGGATCTCCAGACGGACACCCCTTTCGGTTCACTTCACAGAGCTCATTGGCTGGGCAAGGATTTGGATTACAGGGATGAGTCACCTCTTCTATGATGTTACCTAAAGCACTTGGCCCTGAAAACCACAAAACTATCAGTGTAACCAATCTAAAAGAACACCACGTCTTCAAGTTACCTAACTTCATCATGGCTGGAGTAGACAGAGTTCACAGGCAGGAAGCAAGGCCTGAGTCTAACCAGCCCTAACTAAACATTTGGATTTTTCATTTGTCAGTTTATCACAATGCACCCAACCATTCTCTTACTAATGGGGACCTACAGTACAGCTGGCAGGTCCTGGATACTAGATACACTAATGAACAAAACAGAGAAGCTAACCTGGAGTTACTATCTGGAAGAGAATAAGATAAACTCAGATAACTTCAGTGGCCAGCAGTTCAGAGATTGGACATATTTGGGGTATGGCAATCAAATACATGTTTATGTGTAAGAGGGGTCATTTTTCACTTTAAAAATAATAAATGTCAATGTGTTATGGAGACATGAGCCCATAACACAATCATATCTACCCTCCAACATCCTGGCAAGGCAGAGCAGCACTTCAAGCACAGGGGGTATTTAAAGAGAGTGCTACTATTCATGCTGGAGCATCGTCCAGCTCCTGCTGCTAGCATTTTCTTCCACACACACTGCTGTAGGCTGCTAGCACCATGAATGTATTAAGGTGCTTACCTGATGCCCAGCCTCACTCGGCTCCGAGACTTACAGAGACAGGGGCTGTGGAGCCTTCTCACTCAGCTCCATCACTCTGGGGAGCTTTACCTGGAACTTGGGAAGGGATCTTCCCAAGGTCACAGGGGTAAAAGCTAGGGCATGTACCACAGTCTCTCTATCCTGAGAGCCCAACAGATACTGTCAGTTATACATTCACCACCCTGTCTTCCCTACTTGTTTAGTAGATTCTTAGTTTTATTCAAGGTGGTCATAGGCTCAAAGCTAAAAAGACCACACACCCAAGTTTTCCATACACTTGTAAGCGTTCCCTGCAATTAAGGAGAAGTCTCCCCCCCCCCTTCTCTTTTGCCAACTGGAGTCAGTTGGATAAAACACCAGCAGCCACAGCAGGACAATAAAATGCAGGGAGTAACTGAGCAGAGTGCAGAAAGGCTGAGAAGCCTGCATTCCTGATGCTGCACCACCATAAACATCCTGGCCTACTTGCTTCTGAGCTTTCCTGTGCTTCTTCTAACTGTTCTGTTATTGACAGTTGGGCTTAATCCTAACTGGAAAAGAAGCAACTAGGCTCCTCTGTTGGCCAGCCAGCTTATGCCACTGGCGCCCCCTGGTGGCAGCCCAGACACTAAGGGCATGGTCTCTGACACTGGTCTCACTGCTGCTAAGGAGCTCTTTCTGGAATTCCTCCTTCAAGGAGGTACCAACCTACTGCCTTATCTATTGGCAGAAGTGTCTGGCAGGGAGAAACTAAAGTAGTGAGACAAGTTCCACTTCCCCGTGCGAGCCCAGGGGAGAGCTCTTTCTTCTCTTCTCTATTGGGTAAGTCCAAGCCAGGCCTGGCTCAGGTCCTGATAAACGGATGACAAACGCTGACAGCTTCCTAGGGGAAATTCCACTTTCTGGGCACACCATGACTTCTGATGATACTGTCCTTTGCTTTGATCTTTACAATTCCTGACTAGTAAATAGTTCATATTTCCTCCAAAAGATAAAATACAACTTCTGCTTACACATTTAAAGACGACAATGACAAGTTGACAGGATCTAATCACTTAGGAGACAAAACTCTGAACCCCTGGGTGAGACATTAGCCCTGCCCTATGTGATGGCACCATTCCATTAGTTGGGGACCTGACTGAAAAAATGAGTTGAGCACAGCCTCTGGCTTCCGAATGCCTGATGCTCTTGCTTCCCACTCCTGTTGCCATGGTTGCCCCCTGTACCCTTGAACTGTGAGCCAAGTAAACCCTTCCTCCATTAAAATGCTTTTGTTGGGTATTTTTGTCACAGCAACAAGAAAGTAACTAATGCAGATGGTATCATCGAACAATAGTTCTCATCCAAGGCAGGGAACAAGAGCAGAGGCCGTGAAACAAGCACATGAACTCTAAAACCAAACCCACCCAGTACTTACTGAGGTACGGATCCAGAGGTATACAGTTCTCCAGGTCATCTGCAGGGGACAGAAACTCACAGATACTTTCAGCCGTGTGGTCTTCAGGGAATTTATTCTGGTCTCCACATTTCTTGAGAATCTCTACACAATCTGATCTTAAAAGAAAAGAGAACATTTTGGATTCATGGCTCTGCCTCATGTTGTCTGGTCAAAACTGTCTCTGAAACTTCTCAGAAGCTTTTGTTATATTTCAGAAGTTCTCCCAGCTGGTTAGGACTAAGTCTGGTCCAAGGGCAGTCACAGTGAACTTCCAGCTACACAGTAAATCCAAAGCCTAACTTCCTGTAATCTGAGACCAAAGGTCTCATTCCAGATTTACATTTACTGCTCCAAGCCTGGTGTAGCTTCTACTGCCTTTAAAGGAAAGTGAGCTAGGCTAGTCTGTCTTGCAAACTGTAAGCCATTTCCAAGGCCTGTGTCAGCTGCTTCCACTCCCCTTCCTTTCCTCCCTTTATTTTAAGATCTTTTTAGCTATCACTGCTAAGGTGTTTGGCTTATAACAATCAGAGAGTTTACAACTTTTTTTTTTTTTTAAGCTTAGGGACTGGAGAGATGGCTCCATAGTTAAAAGCACTTGTTGCTCTTGAAAAAGGACATGGCTTTAGTTTTTAGAACCTACACGCTGGCTGAAAACCATCTGTAATCCCGGTTTTAGGGGTCTTTTGACCTCCGTGGGTACCAGGCATGCATGCATGTGGTGCACATACATACATGTAGACAAAACATTCATACACATAAGACACGTATATTTTTAATAGTTTTCTTTAGTCTTGAGTAAAGGCTTGACTCCTTAGGTGAAGTTTCCTACGAGCATGTCCTTCCCATGTGTGACCTTTGACTTATTATCACATAACTAGACCCCCAACTTCTCCCTTATTCAGCTCATTCTTGAGTCATGTCAGAAAGCCGATTAGAAGCCAGGCATGACAGTTCATGCCTGTAATCTCTGTTCAGGAGGCTGAGGCAGGAGGATTGTTATGAGGTCAAAGCCAGGCTGAGTAGAGTGAGACAGGAAGACTCCAAAATAAAAACTAAACCAAATAAGAAAAAATAAAAATGATCTGGACGGTTAATAACCTGAACTGAGCAGTACTGAGCCACACACCAAGGGTTTAGGGCTTGGTGTGGACTTGGTCTTGGAAAAGCTTTTGAAAAACATGCCTGAAGAGCAGCTGAAGGCTATGTAGTGAGGGTCTGTTTCTCCCACCAGGCAGTTGTCATCCTGGCCTCGTCTTAGATCTCCTAAGTAAACCATTCAGAACTGTTTCCTAGGAACAGGATTTGATGACTGGTCACTGACTCCCACTGGATAATAATAAAGACTGAACAGTAGCCGCGGAGGAGGACGAGGAGAGAGGGAAAAGGGCAACAGAAGGCAGATGGAATGCAGTTTGGGAACACAACTAAAGCCACAGATGAGCAGAGGATGGTGCAGCAACCTCAAGTGCTGCCCACCAAACCTGAAGAACAACTTGAGCCTGATCCCTGAAAACCACAACATGCTCTGAGGTGGTGTGCCTTCACCCGTATCCTCCCTTCCTAAATGTACACAGATAGGGCCAGCAAGATGGCTTGTTGGAAAAAGGTGCCTACTGTGAAGGCTGACGACCTGAATTCAATCTAGGACGCACTGAACACCTATACATCCCCCCAGCCCCCAACACCCGCCCATTCCCCCCTTCTCCCCCCCCAACACCCACATGTATACACATGGATACATTTGTACACAGTTGTACAA